TTTCTGTAGATAAAGGGAGCCACAGAGTCAATTTTGGCAGAAATGTGTGCTGAATTGAAGGCCACAGTTTTAGTTGGTTGTTAACGCAAGACTCCACACCGTTTTCCCTCCTAGCACTGAAGACTAGCCCAAATCAGATGACCAGTCCACCTCTTCTGCTGCAAAGGAGTGGGAGCCCTCAGAATATTGAGCAGCTTCTCCAGCCGCCCCGCCATTGGACTAAACTGCTCTGTGGGGGTGTCTCACATTTGGTGATGCCTCATGCACGTGATTAAAGCCTTCTGGCTATTGCTGATGTCAACAAAACCAGCACTATTCTAAGTCCCCCACAGAAATATTGATCTGAAATTATCTTCCTCAATTATCAAAGTTAAGTTAAAAGAGGCTCCAATTCTTTGAGTAACAAAGTCAACGCTCAAAGAATTAAACTTTACTTTCTTAGACTTTTACTGAGCTCATTAAAGAGACAGTATGTTCTTTCTGAGCCATCACTGCAGCCTTGGATTAGTAAAGATCTTCCACAATGGCTCACTCACACCCACAGAAGAATTGGGTACATTCTAATGGCTATTTATTAAAAGAGAACTCACTTTCTTTTAGAGCAAAGGGACTTCATAGACTGCAGGAAATAATTACCACTGTGGAAATACTTGTCTCCAGTAAAGCAATCTATAGATACTTACATTCCCCAAAATGGGTATTTAATTCATTCTCTAAGAAGCACCTTCTTATATAGAGAGGTATATATTCTGTAATAAATACATCACCCTCTCTATAAAATGCCTCTACACTTATATATAAAAATATATATTTTTACATATAAAGTACTGGTATATGTCATATATATGTATGTATATATCATAACATATGAACATATATGTAACATATGTCTCCCTCAAGATAGGAATTCAAGCTCAGTAGCAGAGGAGAACAAGTACAATTCATCAAAGGCAAGCATGACAATGACTTCCAATTGTCTAGGCATCTAGAGCTCTAGTGGTAATTACCTCAGCCTAATCAGTGTCCCCTAAAAGTCTGGTGACAAGTCCTCCAAGAGAAACACTGTTGTCAAGGTCTTATTTTCAAATGGAAAAATAAGACAGCTGCCAGAAGCTGGCAAGAGGCTGAGGGGATGGAGTGGATGAGCGGAGAGTGGTTTTCCTGGGGCATTCTCTAGCCACAGGCTACTCTGCAAACAGTGTTGAAGGATGAGGAAGTCGGGGCATGATGTCACTGCTACATGCAACATAGATACCAAAAGAAAAAGAAACTGAAATTATACAGAAAAGAAAAGAAGTATCTCTTCTAGAGAAAGACAAGGAGGACTGGGCTTCGGGCTGCTGGGAACCCGTTTTACTCACAATATATCACTACCAGAGTGCAGTTAAAATACAGTGGGGGCCGTATTCCAAGGCAGCAAAGAGAAAAAATAAATCGAGAATATGTCAATGGTTAGAAGTTAAGAAAATTCCTTCAAACACATCAATTTAGACATGTTCTGTCCCCTAGGGGGTTCAACCTTTGGCAAACTTTTAGAGGCTGGGGGGGAAAAAAATAAGTCATTAGACAGGGTTTCTTATAAAGAAAAAGAAAATGGGTAAGTAGTAAGGGGTAAGGGATTGTTCCTGGGCCAGACGGCTCAAGTGAACTTTCTTCCTGGAAGCAGAGCTATGAGGAAATGGAAAGAAATGAAAATGTTAAACTAGACTACCACAGAATTTCAGAAATGTGCACAAGGAATATCCACACTCAGTACTCTGGATAACACAACATGAAACATTTAAGGTTATTGCATGAGAGTTAATGAGGGGAAGAGGAGAGATGTAACAGGGAGAATTGGGGCGGAGGAGAAGGGTCTACTGGCTGTATGTCCAGTGACTGTCATTAGCGCTGCCCTAGTGGAGACGTACTAACTGGGGTGAATTTAATCCCTCACTTACCATGGAGGTGTGGACCTGACTGTCCACCAGGGAACATGTCCAAATGGACAGAAATTACCCCCAGCTTTCTGTGACTGAATCAGCTACTTAGCATTTCTTTGCCCCCCAAACTCATCTTCCCCCAATCTCCACACTTACCTGCCCTGCATGGGAAATCTATTTCCAATGGCTTGTTTTATTCTAACTACTATTTCCTCCATCCATTTGGACCCCGCCTGCTTTATAGCACAGGGTGCGATGGCTTTTAACTGGGAAGACAATTACTTGGACAATCAAGATTGTTATTGGCTACTAGTAAAGAGGGGTGGCTGAGCCCTTTTCATGGAAGTCAAGAAGTGCAGGGAGAAGGGAAGGGTCCTGTGCTAGGTCTTATCAGGACACTTCTCTTGCAGCCATCTGCATGCTGCATGACGGAGTATCATATGCTTCACTAGCTGAACCGACTATAAAGGAAATGAAGAAAAGAAAAATTATTTCAAATAATTATGTGCCTCTCTCTAAGAAGAAACTAAAAAGGGAGTGGCATTCTTGTTTGGAACTCAGATGGAAAAGCAGGGGGAAGTCTCCATCCTTGTTTCTAGGATCTTCAGAAATGGTCTGCTGAGTTCTACTCTGACACAGTGGACTGAAAAGGACATTTCCATCTGTGAGAAAGAGTTCAAAAAGCCCTGGCTTCTTCCATCAGCTTCCACTCTTACCACACAGAATCTCTCTCTAGTCAGTCACCATGAAGATTAGGAATATCTTTGAAAACTTTTATTTTTTTTTTTTTCTTAAATGAGAAGCAATGTCATTTGCTTGTTTGAAACCTCCCAAAGGCTTCCTATTGCAAGACTAAAGCCCGAGCTGTGACAGCCCAGGCATAGCAATCCCCCAGCAGAGCAGGTCTGCTCTCCGCCTTCACCCTTGATCTTCCCTGTACTGGGATCCTCCAGTGTTTCCCTCTCTGGCTGTCTCCCTGCTCTCCTAGCTAAAGGAGTGTCCTCACAAGGCCCCTTGCACCCTCAGCTTCACCCTCTGCTGCCTGCTGCATTTTCTTTACAAGCACTTATCTTTGTCTGGGTTTACTGAATTGTTTTTATGGTTGCTGTCTAGAGTGAAAGCTCTCAGAGGCCAAGTACTCTGTCTGGCTCACTGCTCTTCCCTAGCACCCCAAATGGCGCCTTGAACCAAGAAGACAGTCAGTGAGGCTGGTCAATCAACAAGTGGATAACAGCCTTGCTATTGCAATGATATCCCAGTGGGATCAGGTTACTGACAAGTGTCCTGTCATGGATTACTGACGTGGACATTCTCCTGCATTTTCCAATCTCCTCTACTACAAGAATTCATACTTTTAATTTCTGACATTCTCTAGTTTATCTCCATTCTCACAATGATGCATTGTTTCTGATGGGAGCAGCCCAGGGGATGAGTGGCCAGGAAGACTTGTGCCAGGAGCGTCTGTGTCTAGCACCCATGGGCATGGCCAGGGCTGGCTGCCTACTGGGAGGGGTCTATGAAGCCACAGAGACCCAGGGTGGAGGCAGGAGGAGAACCCGGAGAGTTGTTGTGCCTTCTGTTCTCCTAGATGTTATTCTGTTTGGTTCTTAGAGTCAAAGCATTCGTAGGCCCAGATAGTTACAGACTCATTCTGAGACCAGTAAATACCCATCATATAAAACAAGGGGTAGAGGAGGCATGAGGAGGGGCGAGGGGGTTCACTCAGTGGGGAGAGGGACAAAGAAGCACAAGTGGCCTGTGCTGCCCCCAAATCAGGAAGCAGCCTGAAGGAATTAATTCCCACAGGAAAAGCTCTAAAGTCGAGTGTGCCACGTCCACCTCTATTTGTCCCAGAGACTGACGGTCATCTCCGGTCCTCGCCTTCTCCACGTGCTCTGGAAATGCTGCCTGCTCTGTCTGCTTCTGTTCATAAAAACCTATTTTATAAAACAATCTTTCACAACTCATCAGACCCAAGACTATCTATCCTACAAAAGAGAACCCTCATAAAAAAAGAAAAAGATTGGGGTGCTCAGAGTGCAGGATTGCCCTTTGGATGAACCCAGGCACCAAGCTGTTGGCTGTGTGAACCTCTACAACCTCATCTTCTCACTAAAGCTGGAGCCTCGGTTTCTCCTTTTGTGAAATGGGATTAAAACAGCCCCAGCTAATTATGCAGGGTGGTTATGATTACCAAAGCAAACGATCAAGAGGACATTTCAAATGCTACAGCACCAGAGGAAGGAAGGTATCATTATTGTTTGCTCTTGTCTTGTGAACATTTGCAATTAAGCAATACAGGATAATGACTCCAAAGGCCTGCCCTCCTGAGGCACAAACCTGCTGCCAGCCAGGCTCCTCTGGAGCTCACAATCCAATATCCCTCTCTTCCTATGTCTTTTTTCTTAAGGACTCCTCATAGCACACTGTTTTAGAAGATGCTGAGGGCAGATAGATGAGAATCAGCTAAGCACAATCTAATTTACGTCGATGAGCAATGGAGTTGGATATTGGCCCCTGGGATAATGATAAGTAAAATCCATTGTTTAGGGAGAAAATGTCTTCCTGGGGCCAGTTCAAAGAAATCATAAATGAAAACTCTCATCTTTGGAACTAAAAGAAACAGGCATCATAATCGGCAGAGTGTCAACTCTCATTTGGGAGCCTGGGTCCTCAGGCTCAGTTGTCCTCAGTCCTTGGGTGGATATTCGTCTTTTGGGTGGTCACCCATCCAGCGGAAACTGCTCTACAAACACAACCCCTCCTCCAGGGCCTCAACTTTCCTCATTTTTCTACATCATCCTTGAGCCTATTAGACCTGCCATATCTACATAGGCCCTGCCACAGAGTCAAGAAGTAGGATTAGGTGCTGGGCTAGCTCCCAGGTGCTGGTTGGGGTTTTCTGACCCATCAGGCAAGGACCTGGATTTGTGTCATGTCTCTTTAAACTGCTGGTGAAACATAAACATATTCAAGAAAAGCTCTTGATGTTTAGTGTTTCTTAAATAGGAAAGGGAGAAGGAAAGTGAATTTGGGGAATAGACAGAGGGAGGGAAGGGGGAAAGAAATACTACTTACGCCGTTTGCAGCCACATTTTTTTATTCTTTTGGGATCTGTGATGTCATCATGACAGGCCTTGCAGTAAAAATATGCCCTGGAGAAAGAGAATGGAAAAACTGACACATTTCATAATCCATCCAAATGAAATGAGTACCACATTTCCTCCACCGTGGTGCCAAATTAATGAAACATGCCAGCACTAATTTCCTTTAATCTTTTGAAAGGTTTAGACGTTTACAGACGGAAATGTTTGTTGCAAGACCATTTATTTCAAACACAGGCCGCTGTGATTTGAGTTAGTGCTTCTTTTAATAAACTTGTCTTTGAAAAGAAACTGGGGGAAAGGTTGTTGATGTGACACGCCGGGTGTGCAGCTTCCATTGCTGCTCGTGGCGACGTGTGGGAAACGAGTCCAGGGCCCTTCCAGGAGTGGGCAGAGACACTGCCCATCTATGACACGCTCATGGTCTGGCCAAATGTATGAAATAGTGGTAGGGGTGCAAATACGCCATTCTGAAGTTATTAGTTGTGTCACTTTTAAGGAGCCCTGGTGGTATTGTGATTGAAAAAGCACTTGGCTGTTCCCCCAAAGGCTGGCAGTTTCACCCCATTCTGTGGGAGTAGGAAGAGGCACTCTGCTTTCAGAAAGATTTACAGCTTTAGAAACTCACTGGAAGAACTATGCAGTCCTATGGGGCTAGCAGGCTTGATTTGATTTTGGTGCCACTTTGAAAGCATACTTACTTGTCAGCCAATGAGAAACTATAATAGAGTACGAAAAGGGGAAGCAAAAGAAGGGCAGAGGAGAGTCAAGCAATTGCTCTGTCAAACTCTCTCTGAGATTCCACTTGCTGTCGAAGACCGTCAAGCTGGAATCAACCCATAGCTGACCCCCTAGCGGATTTTCAGAAGCACCTAACTAACTGCACAGGAGGAAACGGCCCATCTTATTCCCGCTGAACAGCTGGTGGATTTGATCTGCATACTTTTACCTTGGCAACAAAATTCCTTATCACTAAGCCACCAGAATCCCTCTTTTCCGTAGCCCATAATAAATATCTCCAATGCTGGTTGGACCAATTCTCATACTGTCTAGGCCTGAGAACACGTAATCAATGAAGAGTCTCTTCTACAAAGCCAAGGCTCACCTGACCACTCAGATGGTGCTGGACAGGGGTTCTTCTTCTTTCTTTTTATATGGTAATACTTTTTAATGAATGATGTTGGGAATTCTAATGAATCTAGGTAACACGTCTTTTCAGATTGAGCACACTGAATTTTAAAAATATTTTTGTTTATCCTAGAGAGGGTGAGACCAGGTTGCTCCTTGGAGGCAAGGATTCTGAAGCTTCGTCTGACAGACTTTGGGCATGTTGCAAGGAGGGAACCAGTCCCTGGAGAGGGACATCATGCTTCAGAGGGTGGAGGGACAGTGCAGGAGAGGAAGACCCTCGATGAGATGGATTGGTTGAGTGACTGGAGTAATGGGGATAGGTGTATCCGAGACAATGATATTGGCACAGGATAGAGCAGGGTTTAGGCTGTTGTACACAGGGTCGCTATGAGTCACAGACGACTTGATGGCACGTAACAACAGCAATAGTCCCACCCTGTGTCAACATAAAGGATTGGCATGGCTTGCCTCTGATTCTTTTTGTTTCTGCTATGCATGAAACAACATATGAGCAAGAGCCTATGGTGATGAAAGAAGAAGTCCAGGCTGCTTTGACGGAAATGGCAAGAAATAAGGCTCCAGGAATAGATGGTATACCAATTGATATATTTCAGTTAACAGATGCTGCCCTGGATGTACTCACCAAGTTGTACCAAGAAATCTGGAGAACAACCACTTGGCCAACTGACTGGAAGAGATCTATATTTGTTCCTATCCCAAAGAAAGGTGACCCAACAGAATGTGGAAACTACAGAAAAATCTCACTGATTTCACATGCAGGCAAGATTTTACTGAAGATTATCCAAAAGCGACTGGAACAGCACATCAACAGAGAACTACCAGAAGTCCAGGCTGGGTTTAGAGGGGGTTGTGGTTCTAGGGATATTGTAACTGATGTTAGATGGATCTTAGCTGAAAGCAGGGAATACCAGAGGAATGTCTATCTGTGTTTCATTGACTATGCAAAGGCATTTGACTGTGTGGATCATAACAAACTATGGCTGACTCTGAGAAGAATGGGAATCCCAGAACACTTGATCATTCTAATGCGAAATCTATACTTGGGCCAGGAGGCAGTCGTCAGAACAGAGCAAGGGAACACTGCATGGTTCAAAATTGGGAAGGGTGTATGCCAGGGATGCATCCTGTCTCCATACCTTTTCAACCTATATGCAGAACAGATTATCCAGGAGGCTGGGCTCTATGAGGAGAAATGTGGGGTCAAGATTGGTGGACGATTTATCAACAATCTGCGTTATGCGGATGACACAACCCTGCGTGCTGAAACTAAAGAAGACCTGAAGCGCCTGCTGCAGAGGGTCAAGGACTGCAGCCTACAATATGGACTGAGGCTCAATGTCAAGAAGACCAAGATTCTCACCACTGGACCAATTGGCAGCATCAGGATAGATGGTGAAGAGATTCAGATTGTACACAGCTTTAGTTTGCTTGGCTCCACAGCCAACAGTCTTGGCACCAGCAGCCAGGAAATTAAAAGGCGCATTGCCATGGGAAAGTCTGCTGTTAGGGACCTCTCCAAAGTACTGAAGAGCAATGGTGTCTCTCTGGATACTAAGGTGCGCCTGATACAGGCCATGGTCTTCGCAATCACTTGTTATGCATCAGAGAGTTGGACAATGATCAAGGAGGATAGAAGGAGAATTGATGCCTTTGAGCTGTGGTGCTGGAGAAGAGTATTGAGAGAATACCATGGACTGCTAGGAAAACAAACAGATTTGTCCTGGAAAGGGTTAAACCGGGTGGCTCCTTGGAGGCAAGGATTCTGAGGCTCCGTCTAACATACTTTGGACATGTTGTGAGGAGAGACTGGTCCTTGGAGAGGGACATCATGCTTGGGAGGGTGGAGGGACAGCACAGGAGGGGAAGGCCCTCTATAAGGTGGACTGATTCAGTGACTGGGATAATAGGGATGGGAGTGTCAGAGACAGTGCAGTTGGCACAGGACAGAGCAAAGTTTAGGGCTGTTGTACATAGGGTCGCTATGAGTCACAAGCAACTCGACGGCACATAACAACAACAATAACATGCCAGATGATGGCATATTCTCAAAACATGGACAGGGGTTCTTGAAGTGGGAGGGGCACAAGAGAGTTAAGGAAGCAATTACTATGAACATCTCATCTGCCTCAGCCTATCTTTGTATGATAACCAGGGGTGCTGAATACTCCACAATGAGCTTCTGGATTAGACCCACCAAGCTCTTTCAAGAACTGATTAAAATGGACCCTTCCCAGAAGATTTTCATGGGAGGCCTGAATTGGCTCATCCTCATTGGAACAACCTTGCAACCTTCTGGATTCAGAAACTAGCAAAATCCCTGGCTTAGAGCCTTCATCTTCCCAGCATGAAACTGCCAGAAATACACATGGTCTTCCCCTGCCCGGTGACTGGAGAAGTAAACACAACTCCTGAGCATTTTATTCCTAGGTGTTCCTTTCTATATTTTTTACAGGCCTTTCATTTATGATTGATACCAGTTGGAAGCCAATATTAAGGCTTTGGGATCTGGAAGAGATTTTGCAACTAAGTCTCTCTGACTCAGCTTGCTCAGCTGTCAGATGAAGGGGTTGTCGTGGCCTGCCTCGAGTCATCCCGTGACTCCAGGGCTGGGGGTTGGCCTAACTCAGGCCTTCTGAGTCCCAGCCCAAATGCCTTTTCCACTGGAGCAGCTCCTCCACTATGTCTTTCTATGACAGCTCTCGTTTATGCTGCAAAAAATCAAAGGTAGCTGTTTGCCCAGGGTGGCAATGTGGCTAAGAAACCACCAACTGGTGATCTGTCTTGAAAGGAAAGTGCAGGGAAGATAAAAGCACCTGGGTCCAAGGCATCAATTTTGCTTCTATTGTCTCTGGCCATCTTCTCCCCATGGGATGCTCCTCCTACATGTAGTAATAATAATAATAATAATAATAATAATAATGGTAACAACAGTGGTAGCTAACATTTATAGACCACAACTTTTAGGCCAGGTATGGTAAATAACTGATAAGGATTCACTTATTTGATCCTCAAACTACTTTTGAGGGAGTTATGATATACGAATTATCTGTGTCTTACAGACAAGAAAACTTAAGTGCAGATTGGGGCAGTGACTTGCCCGAAGTCACACAACTAGGAGTGGAGAGTCATCATTTAAATCCACATGTGGGAAAAAATTCAACAGCTAACCTAAAGTTCAGAGGTTCAAATACACCAGCCAGATGTTCCATCAGAGAAAAGACCTGGTGGTGCACTCCGATAAACATCACACCCAAGGAAATTCCTTAGGGAGTTTGACTGTCCTCTAAGACCACTAAAAGTTGGAATAGGCTCAACAGGACACAAGTTTCAAGGTCTTGACTACATCTTTACTTAAGAGATCCTATGTCTGAGTAGATTCTTGAAAGTACAATTACATCACCGATACAATTACATTAAACCTTGATTCTGAAAGTGAAATCCCCATGTGCCAGACAATAAAGTGAAAAAGCGAAGGAAGCCATGGGGACGTGGTGACACATCCCCCAACTTGAGGGGCTGAATGCCTCTATGAGATCTGCATTTTGCTAAGTGGCACACTTCGGTAAGTGCCATTCTCTCCCATGCTTCTCTGCCTCTACTGTGCTCACCTGATCAAGTCCTACTTGCAACACCCCTGTACCCGAGCAATTTTGTGTTGTAGGAGAAAGAACACAATTTAAATCCCTGACCTCAGATTTCAGGAGCCTTTTGCACTATTCCCTGGACAACTCCACCCTCCTAGAACTTGCTTTCCCACTGCACCAGTCCACTATTTCCTCCCCCATTCTCTGGCCTCTATCTTTCTGTCCCCTCTCCCTCACACAAACAGCTTCACACAGCATCACATGAGCTGAAGCACTTGGGCAGGGGCCCCACACATTCCCAGTGAACTTCACTCC